TTGTTGTCATCAGGCAATTTCCAAGTGAGCTGGCACGCATCCACTTATGTGTGCGACATGGGACGTGGATGTGGGGGGCTCGAAAAAGCCCACCCAGCCAAACGCTGAATGCGTTGGACTGGGATGGACTCATCGGTCGGGGAAAAGGGAATGCGGTGTGATGCGGCAGTAGATGCCAGTCGAAAGCTTGTTCCTCAAATGGGGGGGGGCGGTGGCAGTGCTCGCCTGTCTTCCCAGCTGCTGGCTGTACTGAGTTGCTATTACAGACTGTTTTTGACCTGACAACGAAAGAAAAACTGGCGCGCACGTCTCTTGTCGGGTCGGGGCATGACATCGGTGAACCGAGCAAGCGGGGTCCCACAGGCAGCCTTGCCTACAGTGGTCAACAGTGACATCAACAGTCCCAGCGCAAAGCGACGGCATCACTGCTATCCGTCCTCTGGGTATCTTCACACACGCCCACCACTCACTCCACTTAGCTGCCCACCCTTTCACTCCCGATATGTCTGATGGACAAGCATCGTGTTCTTTTCCAGACTGCAGATTGGGGAAACAGGGAGTTCATTCCAAGCGCACCGCACCGCATAGGATGGTCGCCCCGCCAGTCCAGTAGCTCGACTGGGGGCAGTTTGGTGCGCCTGGGAACAATGACGCTGGGACATGAGGTAATCATGTCACCTACGCAGCCTTGCCCTGTTGCCTTGCTTCCTTCAATCGTGGTGGGTTTCGTCTGACGTAGTGAGCTGAACCGTTTTGACGTCGCGTCGCATCGCATCGCGTTGCATCGCACCGCATCTTCGCCCAAAAGCCCATTGTGATCCTATTGACGTGCAAGCCCCTCAATGAATGCCCAGTGGCAATCCCGTTAAGGTATCCGAAATTGCTGCCTCATCATGTTGCATCGAACCCTTTGCGGCGGTATTTGTCAACGCATTGAGATGACCGTGAAGATCTAACATGGCCTTGTCTGCTTGATCGGGCCTGCCCCCGTCCGGTCGCCGGAGCACCCTCGTCTGGACGCCGACGGCGCTACTCCGAGCTCCGACTACCATTCGCTGGTCGCTGGTGCCGTGTCAGGAGTACCAGCAAACCTCGCTGTGCAGGGCAGGTCAGTCCGCTTTGGAGGTCGTCATGTCTCGGCAGGTTCTGGTCCACGATGCGTAGTGGTAGAATGGGTCCTGCAGAATCGAGGATATCATCCAACCTGCTTTCACGCCCAACGTCTCTCTTTCGCTCGCCTGCTCTCTCTCTCTCTCTCTCTCTCTCTCTCTCTCGGTACTTGACTGAACCGATGCCCGCCATACTGTAAGAGCAAGCGTCTTGGGGAGGACCCACCACAGGCCTCTTCGTCGTCCTGTGAGATGATGGATGATGGGAGTGGCGCCGCACTAGCTGGCCTTACCGCTGCAGGCCCCGAACGGTGCGGCAGGGATACCTGATGTACCTGTACCGAGTCTTGCGAGTCTACCCTGTGCTCAGCAGAGCCAGTTCAGCGTCAATGACACCATCTTTTAGCGCACAACAGACGGGGCGGCGGAAGAGGCACACGCGCGCCTTTGCTAACAACGCTTTTTTGCCGACCCGAAAAGCCACCAATGGCGGCATGCTCATGCCTGCTCTGTTCTTCGTGGCGGCTGAATGCAAATGCGATGAAGATGAAGAAGGAAAGCGCGGGAAAAGGGCGCCCTGGCAGGGCTTGACACCATACCCCCTTCGCAATGCCACGGCCAGCAGCCATGTCTTAGAGTTGCGGACCGAATGTGCCATCAATATGCGTGAAAGTGCACGATACGACGCCGAGCCTTGGGAGTTGGGTCGGTCTTCTCATCATCTTTGCCATCTACTTCGTAACCATGCATGGCGCAGACCTACTACCGCCTGGATCCTTTTTTCAATGTCGGCCGTGCGCCCGCCATTTCCTCAAGTCCGGCTAGAACATATTCGTCCCTATTCCCCATCATCAAATCTTG